CGCTGCTCTCTCTGCAGCCGCTCCTCCTCCTGCAGCAGCTCCTCTTCACGGTACTGCCGGTCGCGCTGCTGGCGCCTGTTCTCGAGCTGCTCTCTCTGCAGTTGCTCTTCCTCCTGCAGCTCCTCCTCCAGGTACTGCCGGTCGCGCTCCTGGCGCCTCTTCTCCCGCCGCAGGAGCTCCTCCTCGCTCCGCAGTTGCTCCTCCTCCCTCAGCTGCTCCGGTTCGGCTGGCTTGGCGTACAGCGTGTGGCGGCGCCTCTGGCTTTCCTCCTCCAGATGCCACCACCTCCACGTTTGGCCGCGACGCTCCTCCTGGCGTTGCCTCCTCTCGCGTGCTTCCTGAAGGCGCTCTTCCAGGAGCTGCTCCTCCTCCTCGCGGAGCTGCCGCGCCCGCTCCCTCCCGCGGCGCTGCTCCTCCTCCTCCTCCGCGAGGGGCAGTGCTCCCTGCTCCCGGTGCTCTTCGGCTCTCAGCTGCCTCTCTCGCTGCGGCCGCCACGCGGGCCTGGCCGACAGCCTCTGGCTGCGCCTCTCGCTCTCTTCCTCCACCTGCCACCGCCACTGGAAGTCGCGGCGCGGCTCTTCCTCCTCCCGCAGGCGCTCCCGCTCCTCCTGGCGCAGTCGCTGCTCGCGCTCCTGCCGCCGCCTCTGCTCCTCCTGCTCCAGGCGGCGCCTCTGCTCCTCCTGCCTGCGGGGCCTGGAGTAGACTTTGCTCTGACGCGCCTCGGCTTCTCGTTCTAGCTGCCACTGCCACCTCGGGGATCGACTCTCTCCCAGCTCGCGTGCTCGTTCCTGCTCTCCCTCCTCCTCAGCCAGCTGCAGCTCGCGCCTCTCCTCCAGTCGGCGTCTGCGCTCCTGCTCGCGCCTCGCCTCCTGCTCCAAGCGAGCCTCCTGCTCGCGTCTCCGCTGAGGCTCGCGCCCCTCCTCCTGCCTTAGCTGCTGCGCGCGCCTCTCGCGTTCGCGCCTCTCCGCCTCCCGGCGCACCTCCTGCTCGCGCCTCCGCTCCAGCCTCTCCTCCTCCAGGCGCCGCAGCTGCTCCCGCCTCTCTTCCAGCTCCAAGCGCGTCTCCGGCTCTCGCCTCCGCGGCTGCTCGCGCCTCTCCTCCTCCTGGCGCCTCAGCTGCTGCTCACGCCTCTCCTCCTGCTCCAAACGCGCCTCCGGCTCGCGCCTCCGCAACTTCTGGCTTCTTTCCTCCTGCTCCAGGCGCGCCTCCTGCTCGCGCCTCTCCTCCTGGCGCCTCAGCTGTTCAAGCCTCTCCTCCTGCTCCAAGCGCGCTTCTTGCTCCAAGCGCGTCTCCTGCTCGCGCCTCCGCAACTTCTGGCTTCTCCCCTCCTGCTCCAGGCGCGCCTCCTGCTCGCGCCTTTCTTCCTCCCGGCGCCTCAGCTGCTGCTC